TTATTATTATTATTATTATTATTATTATTATTATTATTATTGTTACTACAATCAAAGGTATTCTACATAAAAGTGTAGAAAATGGCATCAGACACGAGACAGGATGAGAAGGCACAGGATACACTAATCCATAAAAAAATTCTAAATTATGTCAAGCTGTCATTTGGACATGAAGTCTTTCAACTGAAAAAATAAAGATTTGTCTTGTTCAAAAGTGATGGGAGGTGGTAGGGGGCGGGGGGTCGACAAACCATGGGAAAAGATTCTTTTCTACACAGCAGTATAATATCCGTTATAACCTTAGGGAGCCTTACCTACCGCTGGCAACTTTCATGTTAAAACCATAGACATTTCGCGTCACTTTCAAATCTCGCTGACAGTCGATTATCACACAAGCAAACCGATCTACTAAGCAGGAAAAAATTAATTAATTAGAGAACCTCCCTTCTGATATTCCTAAGACACAGGAACTGCAGTTCTCACGGGACGAGAAAGAAACAGATACAGCGAAAATCGGAACTGTATTTAGGTGCTTTCTCCACCGTATAATTAATCGACTCAGGGCAACAACACACTGAGTAAATAAATACTATTGATGTGATACGAAATTTAAAGATTAAAATTTAAAGATTTCAAGAAGAAAAAAATGATTATTCCTGTAATACTCGTATTATTCATTTCAAAACACAAACAAAGAAATAAACATTGAGAAACCGACTCGCTTGCACGTTATTCGAGGACTCGAAAAATAGTAATCCACGCCGACTTTTCTGCCAAGCTTCATACCCAAAAAATTACTGTTCTCAGAAGCTGCGCAGAACTGTCAAGACTTGTCACGATTACTGTATACAGTGTTTTTTTTTCAATAGTGGTATTCTTCCAGTTGTAAGGTGTGTTGTCTATCCGTAGTGGTATGTCAAGATATAATTAATGAAATTCTGATGTGCCCTGAATGTTTTAGTTGTACAATTTTGTTATTGCAATTGTAATTGTTGCGTCTTATATGGCGTTTTTACATTTCCACCTAGGCAAATTACTCACTTCAATTCCCTTTTTCCTATAAAAAAAAATACACTTAGCACGGCAACGGAAACGCAAATGTTCAACTTCAACCAACTTTTCCGTAGTAAACGGACGACGTACGATTCAAAAATTTGCTCTCTTCTGATTGGCTAACGGACAAACTGAAACGTATGAACGGAGGGCTGTGAATTCAAGGTTTGATTAATCAAATTGGCAACCTTGCTTTGCATTGCAGTAGTGGCAATTTTTTTAAATGTTTCATCACATTTTAATCGCTTCTTTTCAAAAAACGTATTGCCGATTACGGTAAAAGAACTTACAAAATACTTACTTTTGTAGGTAAAGACAACATAAATTAAGTAATGGCAGATGCAGGTACAGAAAAGCTATCAAAAAAGTAAGTTCACATTTGGAAATGCAAAAATTGATGTAATATAACCTCAATATGCTGCAACGTTTTAAAGCCCTTACCATATTGAAAAAGACATCTTTTTTGCATTCTAAATATTCAAGTGTAGCTAAAAGGTAGGTTAAGTAGGTTTCAAAAACTAATTACTTCATATTCACTTAACAGTGAGCTGAAAAGGCGACTAAAAGCTGAACAAAAGGCAAAAGAAAAGGCAGATAAAGTTGCGCAACAACCACAAGTAACTGCAGCTGTTAAAAAAGTTGCCGAAGAGGAGATAAGCCCAAATGAATACTTTAAGTTACGTAGCCAGGCGGTTTCGAAATTGAAACAGCTTGGAAATGAACAGCAGCCGTACCCCCATAAATTTCATGTGTCCACGTCACTTGAAGATTACATTGCCAAGTATTCAAACCTACAAGATGGGGAAATTGTGGAATCTGATAGCGTAAGCGTGGCAGGTCGCATCCATGCGATACGTGAATCCGGAGCCAAACTTATATTTTATGATCTTCGAGGTGAAGGCACCAAATTGCAAATCATGGCAACGGCAAAACACTATTACGATGAAGTTAAATTTACAGAAGATACCGATAAAATAAGAAGAGGCGATATTGTTGGTGTTGAAGGAAATCCAACCAAAACCAAAAAAGGAGAGTTATCTATAATGCCCAAACGAATCAAATTACTTTCTCCGTGTTTGCACATGTTGCCCCACTTACATTTTGGACTGAAAGACAAAGAAACCAGATTTAGACAAAGATATTTAGATCTCATATTGAACAACCGTGTGCGAATTATATTTGAAACACGCGCAAAAATTATTGCATACGTTAGGAAATTCTTGGACCAACTAGGATTTTTAGAAATTGAAACGCCAATGATGAATATGATTGCTGGAGGTGCGACCGCTAAACCCTTCGTGACGTATCATAACGAGCTCAATATGCAGTTATACATGAGAATCGCACCTGAGCTGTACCACAAGATGCTAGTTGTCGGCGGCCTAGATCGCGTATACGAAATCGGCCGACAATTTCGAAATGAAGGTATCGATCTGACCCACAATCCCGAATTCACCACCTGCGAATTTTACATGGCGTATGCGGATTATAATGATTTAATGACCCTTACCGAGACTATGATCTCCGGAATGGTTTATAGTATACATGGAACGTATAAAGTCAAATATCATCCGGATGGTCCTGATGGTGAAGAGGTTGAAATAGATTTTACCCCTCCTTTTAAGCGAATTCCGATGTTGCCAGCTTTAGAAAAAGCTTTGAATGTCAAGTTTCCATCTCCCAATGAACTTGTCAGTGATGCTGGTAAGTTAAATGTATGTCATGAATAAGTTAGGACTGATAATCAGCTATCAAAAATAATGAATTACTCACTTCATTATCAAAACGTGATTGATTATGGATTTATCAATTAAAAAACAATGGTCCTAGTGCTACTGTGCACTTGTATCGGTATACCATTTACCAGCCTTCTTAATGTTTTGCAATTGCAGGTGTCAAACTCTTAAGTGATCTATGCGTAAAGCACGAAATTGAATGTCCACCTCCTCGCACTGCGGCAAGATTATTGGACAAACTCGTAGGCGAATTTATTGAAGAAGGTTGTATTAATCCGACGTACATCATCGAACATCCCCAAATAATGAGTCCTCTCGCTAAATGGCACAGATCGATTCCGGGTCTAACTGAGAGATTCGAACTGTTCGCGATGAAGAAAGAAATTTGCAACGCCTACACGGAACTAAACGATCCGGTTGTTCAGCGTGAGCGATTCGAACAGCAAGCCAAAGATAAGGCTGCCGGCGATGAGGAAGCGCAGTTGGTTGATGAAAATTTCTGCACTGCGTTAGAATATGGTCTTCCACCAACAGCTGGATGGGGACTGGGTATTGATAGGCTGACTATGTTTTTAACTGATTGTAATAACATTAAGGTAACTGACTATATCTTGTTAACTAATGTCATAATTCACTTTTCTGGTTGTAGGAAGTTCTGTTATTTCCCGCTATGAAACCGGATGAACCTAATAAGGTAAAGGAAGAAGATGCTCCTGAGGCTTAATTTCGTTAAAAGATGAACCTCTAATTGTGGATTGGTTTCCTCCAAGAGCTTTGTTTGGCAGACCGAGTATTAAAATCAAGATTGTATAATTTTAATAAAGTGAATTCAATCCCTGTTGAAAGCATTATGCTTTACTTTACCAAGTAGCAGTTTTAAACCCAATCTTCCAACCTACATTTTCCTCCACACTTGGCCCATACATCAGAATTAATGGCTAATTTGCGACTTCTTCCGTTGAGTAAAAGTCGTACATGGTCACCAAAGTGCATGAAATTGCGTTTGGGCGTTTTCCCATTGAAATTTGTGCATAATGATTTCTAGAGTATAGTATACTCTGGTCATACTGACAATTTTGTTCACTTCCGTTTTGACCGGAAATAACGCCAAATGAGAAAAAAAAAAGAACAGTGGATAGATACGTATTTCGTATTTTTCAACTTTTTGCGAATATCTGGATTTCGTACAAAACCCGAAATTCGTGTCTGTGAAAACAAGCCTTAATGATCACTCTGTATTGCTGAACTACAGAATTATACTCATAGATTTGGGGACATACCTATTCTGTGTGTGTGATTGATAAGATTCATAACATAACCTATCTTGCGCAATTTAAAAAAATAGCTTTTCAAGGAATATGGAGGCGAATATTCGAACGGTTAGTTACTTATTCGTCAACAGAGTTGCTTTAATCATGAATAATTTTAGTTCAAAGATTTTTTGCAACTCTACAACTTATTATCCCACACGTGTTTTAAAAGGTGCATTGATAACCTAAATACTCGAAATTTGGACGACAACGAAATAAAATGCGTGGAAGATTGCGCCGAAAAATTTATCAGGTTAAATCACAGATTTATGGCGATCTATGTTGAGCACCAACAGGTGTTAGTTAACAGACGTATGAAGGAGGCTGAAGCGGCCGCCGCTGCTGCTGCAGTTGATAGTACAAACGATGCAAGCAGTACAAATGCATTAGAGACAAGCGAGAGCGAACATTTACCTCAATCAAGTGTTGCTGTGGGATAGTTTTAGTCAAGTGTTTTTTAGTTATACTACGAGTCTTATTCTTACTTCAAGATCAAATGTACTAGGTTGGTCAGAGCTGTGAACAGAATAGATAGAGCATTTTATGAAAATAATTAATTTTTAATTTTGTTTCGAAGCCTTACGAATTTTTGAAATGAGTGGTTACTACATTTAGACCCATATCTGTTATGTATATGTTTAAATTAAACCTGATTATTTCCCATTAAATATACATACATGATTCATAAACTTATCGATTACCCAAGCTTATTATTGGAAAGGTAGACAACACACTTATTGAAGCCAAAGAGAGCAAGATATGTAACTGTGAAAAACGCTAAACCAATGAATAAAGAATTCATTGCGCTAAATCCACATTTTACATCCCAGCTAGAATATACAAAAATTAGCAATCTAAGGAAGAGACTCCACTCCTTTCCCATTTGTGAAAAAAATTCCTAAGGCACTTACGTACATAAAGTACATGAAATACATTGTCAATTAGCCGGACCTTCTCCAACTCGGAAGGTATCTCAAGTTCCTAAATACTTTAATAGACTAAAATTATATTTGAAGTTGAATCCCGCTAAGTAATGTTAACACCACCTCTACATGGACGAAACAGTTCGACATTAAATTTTACTAAATATATGACCCGACTTTTACATTCGAATACCTAATGTGAAAATGAACGGCAAAATTGCGACTTGCATGTAGAACGAACTTGAAGTATGAATCATTTCCATCCTCGAACGGTTTAAACGTTTCTTAATCTACCCCTTTTGCAAGTAGTAGTATTTTAATTTTTTTGCTGTTGCTCCAACGCAAATTACTACATGAAAAATAACTGTTTTGTACCAATTTAGGGCGCTAAAACTGTGAATTCTAATTCAAATTTTCCGGGGGGGGGGGCCCTCTCCTTAGGGGGTGCTCAGTACCCCTCAAACCCCCCGGTGCCCCTCATACAGATCACAACTACACATTCGCCCACACTTACCAAAAGGTTGCCGACCCCTGCAGTATAGCATTGTTTCAAAATTGCTGATGTGCTAATTTCTAAAGAGTGGCACTGTTGTAAAATGACAGCATTGTTTTGAGGCTAACGTATTTCTAACCGGTGTCTATACATACATGCTCGGTGCCCCTATAGCAATGAATAAACCCTATAGCCTCAAATTTGAAATCGGACATCTCACGATCTTCCTCCTGTCGCCATCTTAGTCCAATCATTGAAGGTAAAATACCGTGATTTAGTGATACCATATAATTTTGCCAACGGCACCAATTTGCAAAAAAAAATTGAATTTATGTTCTCTACTTCAAAGATGACTATCTGTGCCCCAGGGGTTGCTCTTACCCCGGGGCGGGGTAAAACTTCTTCAGGGTGAAAAATATTTCATTGCAAAATACACCTAAAAAGTTCCAGAAAAGGTTTCCTTAGTGTGATCTTACGGAGTCATTGGATTTAACCCATTTTCAATAGGCTTGTTGCATTATATAGGTATATCTATATATGGCATATATAGGTCAACTGTGTAAAGTTTTAACAGAATCAGTACAAGCGTTTGCCAGTTATCATAGACAGACCGCACACGATCGTCCATCGACTCCCCTAAAAAGCTTGCATTGCTTTGCTAATCGCGCTTAATAAATCCGAGAATGAAAAGATTGAGATTGAATCCTATGCAACTTTCGTTTTATAGCTTATTTTTGAATGTCAGCGAGAATTGCATTTTTCGGAAAAAATTGATACAACTTTTTGTAGTGTACTTAACCCCCAGGTTCTACGCTTACTTCACACTGCAAGAACACGGAAATAAAGTCAACCCGGCAACGTTTAAAAATGGTCACCCGAATTACTATTCCCTCCAAAACTAAACAAGATCCGCTTAAATTTGGAAAGTGGCACGTGAGCAAACATCTAAGGCAGGGCCCCCTTACGTTAGTTGTAAACAACGCTATGACCTGAAGCACAGTAGGGAAGGAACGTAAAATAAAACGCTCAAATTGTGAAAAGTTTGTTTAATAATGATCGCAATTATTATTTGATTGTAAAAGCTCCGAAATTTAAGTCAAAATAAATTTTGAAAATGGTAGTTCACAGAATCAAAATAGAAATAGGCTGCAAACAAGACAACTTACCAATAAAAAACCAGCCTTCAAATTAATATTAAATTGTCAACATTGTCACAAAAAGTAGCATGTAAACTTCAAGAGGTAACATAAATAGGTTAAAAACAAGTTTTGGGAATTATGGGTGAGGGAAGCAAGATGGAAAATTACATGGCCTTGTAGGCTAATTTAACTAAAAACAAGATATGTGGAAATTATTGAATCGCCACTCATTATTCGCATGTAGATTCTAAACTGAAGAGCTTTGATTAGCGTAATCCCGCTCCTGCAAGATAGGTAACCCGCCCCTGGTTTCGGGGTTTCGAGTCTACAGTTGAAAGCCAAAGACAATCACGGAATTAGGTGTCGTAGCTCAATTTTGACAACAGTTTTTACCACCCCCGTGACTGCTTCATTCACGGAGAAAATGTTAGTTACAAACAACAAGTCAGTAGATACATCAAACAAATCGGTAATTTCCACATATTAAAATAAAATGATGAAAACTTATATGAATGTTACTCCAGAGACAAGACCAAGTAATCAACATCAATAAACATAAATTAAGCAAGCATATTACACCAAAAACGTAAACAATTACAAACAATAGAATAACGGTAGGTATCACATATGTGATTATGCATTGCGGTTAAACCAAGTAAATTTCAAAAACAAAGATTCAAACACAAAAAAGTATAAAATGTGGCATACAAAACACAAATACGATATAAAAAAATGCAAAGATTACTACCTGTATTAAAAAAACACAAAATAACAACAAGCATTTATGGAGCGACGCGTTCACGACCGCCATTCAACACAAGATGCCAAACGTAACCCCCGTCCGTCCTTTTTAGATGGCGCAAGCAGCTTTTTCCCACCTAGGCATGGTTGCCAACTCTCAAAAATGTATGTATCGTCGTAAGTTGTATATACATGTTAGATTTAAGATGTTTATAAGTGTTTGGCACGTGTGTATGAACCCAGTAAATTTTGAGTCTCTTGCAATGTGGGCAAGCCAAGTGTAAAAAGTAATTGTGAAATTAAACCAATTAAATTTTGTTTTTAAAATCTAATTATTGTGTAATTTTGAAGTTATTTTCAATAGTGGGGCAAGTTTTACATCTTTTTCTAAAGTTTGGTGTGACATTTCAGCATTTTGTATTTTTGTGTGGGTCATACTGCTTTTTGCAACCAGGTAAAACCCATTTTATTTTAGTCCAGTAAAATTTTATGGAAATGGAGAGTATTTACAGGGTTGTTAATTTTTTTTAGGAATACCCGTCTTCCATGCCTCTTTTTGTGCTTCAACTTGTGCAAATCCAAATAAAAAAATGGCACTACTGCTATTCCTATTGCAATTAGTTTTTCAGCCTAAAACAAATAACACACACCTTGAAGTTCCTAAAGATGTAAACATACTTACCACTACATACCTCAAAAACAATTCAAATGTAATTTCAAAACATGAACTTCCTGAAATACGGCTGCTTGCCCTTATACAGCGTAACGACTTTTGGACCTTAGCAATTTGACATCTTATACTCTGTAGGTGTGTAAGTATTCAAAAAAGCTTGGGAAAACTTCTTACCTTATTTGACTGCTAAAGTGAAAATTGTTATTTATGTACCAGTTCGGGTGGGAAAACCTTCGCCTCAATAGCTCTGTTCATTCCCAGCGGCTAAGTTTAACTAGCAACAAAATGGGTTTATTAACTTAACCGATAGTAATCAAAGCTCTCGTTTTGTAACAAAGTTTCTATTCTACATTATACAATACACTCTCGTCACACTCTTTAAGTATTGATTAACAGGGTGGAATACTTAGTAAATTTTTTGTTGGATGTAAACTGATACTGATAATCATTTGAACATTCAAAATTGAATTGAAATACAAAACAATAAGTAAATTCATGCCCATATTTCCTGCTCTCCTAAAAGTTAAACATCCCTAAAGCCTCAGTAAGACACCTACATCCACAGCCCGTAGCGCAAATTGAATATTTCTCAAACCACTGCCTCATGTGTTTAGTATGACCACCGTGCCCGCACACAAGACAACAATTCGCCGACCCTCTCACAGAGGTATGACAAATAATGCATTCCAAAGAAACGCGTTTGCACGTTATGCAGCTGGTCGTGCGAGATGGCTCCTTACACTTTTGACAATCTGTGAGAAATTCGACTCCCTTGTGGTTTTCAGTCGGCGTGCACAAATACTTTAAAATTTCCGCTCGATTGTATAGCAGACCCCAGCGGTGTAACATTTCCGCATACGCGAGCTTATAGTATTCGTAAAAGGAGCTAATGGGCGGTTTTTCGAATGGCAAATTTGGCAAAGCTTCAATTTTTAAGTTGTCCAAGGAGTTGGATCTGGCCACCCTAAGTAATGGAAATACCCAGCCGTCGGCGACGACGTCAGCAGGAGGAATTGTATGATATGGAGATCCACCAGCCTGTAATGTACGGAACAGATTAGTGCTTTACTTGTTCCACAATTACATTGCTTTCATAAACATTACACAGTGCTGCTATTTGGAGAGCCAACATTATTGCACATTTTTAGTACGTATTGCCTAACCTCGTTGAAATAAGATATCTACCACAAAAATACTTTATAAAATGATTACACTTTAAAGATGATTTAATACTTAACAGCCATGCTGTAAGTAAAAGTATTTTTGTAGTTTTTGAGGTTTTCTAGAGGTGTATTACTTTAACATCATTATTATAAAGATTAATTGTACATTATGTATTAACTGCATGTGCTTATACTCCATACCAATCTGCTAACCACCACCATGTAGTGACATCAAACAGAAAATATCTTCACAGCTTCTACAGCTTGCATTGACTCAAACATGCTCAGCAAAATTTTTATGACGCAGGAGAATGAATATTGCTCACCATTACACTACTATTATTAGTACTGATGTATAACATGCCATACGTATCACCAACAGCCAAAGAAAAATATGTGCAAGCGTACTAGTCATAAGGTATCATGCGATTAATACAGGTTCGTCGACACGCTAAGTTAATTTACCTTAAGCCATTTTTTTCCAGATGCAAGTTGCTACAAATTAAAATTATACATTATCCAATCTAAGCAAGCGATTTGCCTATCAGGCGAACTTACTGTCATTGGAAAGTATTTCAAAAACGATTTCCTTCGATACTTCTCCTCTTGACCTTTACCGAATACGCACGACAGCATGGCGGCAGTCTGAACGTCAGAGTTGTTGGCATAATGACTTATTCTAAAATTAAAGTAAAATTCCTAATTATGTTTTTGATATTTTTTTAATTTTGCAAGTTCTGTCTTGGTACAGTAAATCAAAAAGGTAGTAATCATAAAATAACAACAAATAATAGTGCTTTTCAGTAAAAAGTACGTAAGATATGAGCAAATGGAAGGACTAGTGAACAGATATTTTGTAGTATAGGTATATTGAATTGATCTGTAGAATATGCAAATATATACATTTTTTTTAAACTGATATTTTTATCTTTGGTTAAAACCATTATAAGAATTTTATGAATATAAATCCTTTTTTCTTATAATTATACTTCCGAATAGGTCATAAAATAACTTTATGAAAAACACAGTCTGACAGACCAGAACGAGTAAAACTACCATGAAAATCACAGTGCAGTGTGTGAAGATAATTAGGTTACGAAAAGAGTGACAAAAGGATGCCAAGGACACAGGGTTTTTACAATGGTCAATACATAAATAACTTCGTTCTGTATAATATCACCGAATTTAAAAGAAATTTCAAAAAGATGCAATTGGATCTGTCTAGGAGTGAAATCTTTTCCTGGTGGACCAGGTGGTCACTTATTTGTATTTTGAATTTGTATTTTGTTAAACATAGGAAAATCAACATGTACCGCTTGGTACGAACATAAACAATAGTATTGTCTGGAAATACATTAGCCGATTAACAACTCGCGGTGCATTT